TGATAACAGGATGCCCAGCTTATGAAGACATACCTGAAAATGTGTCAGAGTTCGTGAAAGTGTTATCTGAAAGGATGGATGATATTCACCATCAAGTGCGTTCAAACTTGAAAACGTCTGCTGATTCGTTGAAGTTATCTTATGATAAGAGATCTACTGAAGTCAGCTTTGTACCAGGAGACAAGGTGTGGTTGTATAATCCCAGGAAGACCAAAGGGAAGTCTCCTAAGTTGTCATTTCTATGGGAAGGCCCATATGACATAGTGTATCGTCTCTCAGACGTGTCACCTGAAAAAACCACTGTCGAAAAAGAAACTCTACTCGGTTTTGAGAAGGGAAACAGTGAAGCCCTTGATGAAGTTACTACGACTGATGTGACTGTTACCAATGATAGGACGTTTCCTGATGAAGCAGATGAACCCCACTTGAAGCAGAAGCCAACGAGACGGAGACCAGTACGGAATAAGATAGGTCCCGTAAAATTAAGACTTTGTTGAATTTTGATTTTGTGTTTTTAAATTCTGTACATATAATTAAGTTATTGTTAATTGTTTATTGGTGTAATGTAAGTGGCTATTGTTCGGGACGAACAATACTAAGGAAGGGGCAGTGTTACGACAGCGGTGGTCACGTGACGCTAGTATCACGTCATATTCTCGAAGGTTCGGGAAGCCTCGAGTGTTTACTAGATATGCGGTATTCTTGTATATATAAGACCGGTAAGAAGTGACAGCAAAAATGTAATTGAATTGCAGACAGAGATACAGACGACAATTGAGCCAAGCGCGTGAATCGTTCGCTCGTTATGAAATATAGCGTTTGTTTAAGTTATCGCGTGACTGTGGAAATTAAGTGTATTGCAAAGTTGTATTGAGAAAGAATAAACTAGTTTTATTTAACAAAGGACTTGTATCGCTAAAGTTTCTTCGAAAAGAATTTTTACGGAAAATTAACTAATGACCAGAGACGTAACAGTACAATTATTACCGAGTAACCGAACTTGTAATAACTGTCGCCTTTAAAATAATTGCATTTAACTTTCTTGTTATGAAAAAACTAAACAATCATGAAATATTCACTCACAAAATTAAAAATACCTACACTAAACAGTCTTTTATATCTGATAGACTGAATAGAAAGTCTTTAGTTTAAAAATAATAGTATATTCCTAGAATTTTTATTCGGTTTGTTATTTTCACTGGTATAATTTACATTCAAATTTATTATATTATTTACGTTTTAGATATTATTTATTGTATTTCTCGTAAAATTATATTAATTAAGAAATTTATTATAATAATGTTACTCTCTATGCCTCTAGATGTCTCTACAGATATCATATTTAGTATGCCTTTGAATTTGAAGTAGCGTGTTACATTGTGTTTCATAATGTCGGTAAGTTGGAAGTTAATTTTAAAAATATGTGTTATTGTCTATAATTTTTTTTGTTTATCGGATATGCATATTATTGTTAAAGTGTTTTGAGTTTCTAAACAACGAATAACAAAATTATCTGTTTATAAACCGGTTCGCCGAGGCCGTACGGCAGTAGGCTTATAAGTTACTCTACACTCACAATTTTACAGTTTACATCAACGTGTTTAAACAGTTACACGTGTCTTTATATATATTGTGTTAGTCTTGTACAGGTCAATGATGTACTCAGGATTTCGTCAGGGGAATTTCCAAATCAGACGTAAAAGGGTGTGCTTTAATTCTAAATCTAAAAGTAATACAAGTTGCAACACACGCTGAAGGCAGATTAAAGAGGGAGGAGAGGATGTTTTGTGGGGTCAATCCCAGAAAATTTTTGAATAGACTCCTCAGGTGCTAGGTTCTGAGCTTTTAAGTCCTAAATATTTTATGTTGTTAGAAAGGGGAGGAATGTGTTATGTTTAGTAAAAATTTTACGATGTGCAAGAGCCAAGAGATGTACTAGCTTGCCTCCCCCTCTGTATTGGCTCATCTTTGCAAAGTTCTTATGTATTACATCACTTTGAAATAGAATGAATAGCATGAAATATCTTCATAAGGTATATACATCTTTATCCCATTCACCATAGGATCTCACTTCTACCCTTTCTCCATTTGGCTAAGAGGTCAATTGAACCTGAAAGAATAGTAGGAAATAATGACAATGAAAAATAATCTGGAATCGGTTACAATGTTTTTATAATATCAACATCTTGATGAGCATATTTCAGAGTGGACTGCACTGTAAACTAAAACTTAATGACACACATCATATGGCATCAGTTACCCAAATTTACCCCTAGAAATGTTGAAAGGAAATATTCTGGATAAATTATTATAATGATATTGTAAAAAATTGCTGGTTGAATTCAGATAGGGCAGTTCTATAAACTAAATAACACATGTTATTGAACTATTTTCTTGGCCCTTTACAACAATAAAAAAAAAAAGTTCTAAAGTCAGATAAGGATTTTTATGTAATATCAAAAAACACTACATATGAATATATTTTTGCCTGGACCTGGCAGTAATTAAAACTTAATGATACAAATCACATGCAAATGTAATTTCTACTAATAAACAGTGCCTATACCAATACTATGCCTGTCAAATATAAGCTGGTCTGGTGAGCCCTGATATTGGGTAAAAGGCATCATCAGCATTGGATGTGGTAGGTATAGTGTGTTTTGCATATTGTTACACAATTCTCTTTGCTTTCACATTTAAGTTCTTGATAAAATATATGTTTGGAATTTACAACACCCTGGATTAGAGAATGTTTTTTGTTTTCTTTTACTATTTTTAACTAAATTACTTCAGTCTATGGTCTTTCAAAACACTATTTTACCTATTGATCAAGAGCTTAATTTTTAATTAACAGTACAGGATGTATTGGCTTACTTGTTTTTTTTACTAATTTTTGATTGCTTAATTTATTACACTAAACAGATAGTCAATTCTACAAATATTTTTACAGTCTTTTGTTCTTTTAATAATTGACAACTAATTTAAGTTTTGGTCACCAATGAATGAGAAGTTCACACTATGCCCAGAAATGTTTCTGTGTGACTGCTATGAATTTGGTGCCTCTGTTAAACTAATAATCTATTTTGAGAATTCAAATAATAAATTATAAGCACATTAAAGTGATTATGAAGACTGACTCCTTTGAACAATCTGTCGAGCAGCGTTGCCAACTGGTAAGAGTTTAGAAATCTTGCATGTTTTGTCTGTTCATTTGAACTGACTATTGCACTTTACTTGGCTTAATATTTTTTTTTAGATTTCAATATTTAATGAACTTTCACCAATATTAATTAATACAATAAGTTATTCTTTGCTTAATGATGTTAGAATTTATTTATTGCTCAATTAGTGTAAAGGTGCTTGAACTGTATTTTAAGGTAGTAAATATGAATGTCTAAATGATTTTTAAATGTGAAACACAGTTTTATTGATTTTCCTTTAGAGTTTACCTCTCAACCCAAAGCCTTTCCTGAATAGTCTAACTGGAAAACCTGTGGTTGTAAAACTGAAGTGGGGAATGGAGTACAAGGGTTATCTTGTATCTGTGGATGGTTACATGAACTTACAGGTAATTATATCTGCAGGCTGATCTACACAGAAGAAGAGTTTTATAAAGACTTGCACCACAAATTATTAAATTCTTCTCTGTATTTATTCAGAAATTTATGTAATTCTGAAGCGAGGTTATCAAATTATTTAATGGTACCTCATCTATCATAGCATGAAAACCTTGTAGGCCCATTGCTTGATTTCTAGAAAAAAGTACTGGATCATTGTTTGCAGGCAAAGGTAGAGTTATGTAAGATTACAGTTTAAACATTATTGAGTGTGCTATTTAAAATGAGATTAAAGAGAGCAGTGTAGTTGACTGCACTGTTCAATTATCAACTGGCTGTGCAACTGAAATAGTCTTAAGATAGTGGTGTTTCTGTCTTTAGATAGGAAAAATAATGTATAACAGCTTCCTGATCTCGTATCTGGAGAGATCCAGTAGAAATTAAGCACTGCTTAGGCCACGAGATCTGCTAAAATTTCATAGTTAGTTAGTTATTGAATTCTTAGGTGACATTTCTAGCTAAAGACTTACAAAAATTAAATTTTGTTTGGTTTTCTAATTGTTTATTTGTTTAGTCTGTGCCAATGGGACTTTTTGTATTTCTGTTCAGCACTAAAAATTGTTTGGACAATGACATAAAGTTTAAACATCATTTGAAGTTAATACTTTTTATGTAAAAGTAAATGAAGTTTAATTCTGTAATTTGGAATTGATGTTTGTTGGCTTAAAACTTGCAGAATTCTCTCATTTTGTCTGTAAGTAGACAAGAATATGGAAAATGAGTTACAATATGGAAAAATGATAACGTGGTTGATAGAACATGGAAAAAGACTTGTTTCTTAGGTGAGATGAATATTGGTATTGTGGAGAAAGAAAATTATGTGTGTATAATTATTGATGCTTAAAACCTTTTACTAAATATTTGGTGGTTGTAATGAAGATAGTTAATTACATATTTGTGATCTATTTATAGAAATTTTAATTTTAAAGTAAGAACCTTGTTACAGTCACGCTGTTAAGGCTTTATTTAGAGCAATAGTTCTCAAGATTTTTTTCTTTGTGGGCCATTGGCATTGTTTTTTGTTTTGTTTTTTATCTCAGCAGACCACAAAGGGATCTATACACTTTCTTTCCATAATTATGCAACCTCTCCACGGACTACCTGAACCATTGAGAACTGCTAATATATATTTTCTGCCCCATTATTTCAATAAGAATAAAGTTATGCAAAAAGAGTATCAAGACAGGCTACAAGAATAATATCTAAATTTTAAACCATAAAAAAAAAAGGTTTGGGACTGGATCTTTCCCAAGACATAATAGAAGTAAAGATAAATACAGATGTTTTAGGTTGATAGAAGCTTGTAGGTCTGAACTTGAAAGTATTTTTGAATGAATAGAACCTGAATATTTAATTCAATAAGTAAAAGCTCTGAAAACACAGACAATATATTTTTGTAGTAGTATTTGCTGTTGAAGTTACAAATTGGTTGAATAAATTGTCCAGTGACTTGGTTTGCTTTTAGTTTAAATTTATGTGGACCTGTGTTGAATTAATATATTAATCTAAAAGACTACATTTAGTTCAGTCGGTTGTTTTTATGGCTGCAAGGTTGATCTGGAAGATCTAAGGGGCTTCTTATGGTATTTGCAAAGAATTTGGGAAAAATGGAGAGCAGTAAACTGGCTTTGTGTTCTTTCATCAGTGTGCTGTGTTATTTATGTTTGATTTGGATACCTTTTTTGAGTAGTAAATTATCCAGATTTCTGTTGTTGATAAGATTCTGAGTAAGACTGCTACTGTGGAAAATGTTTTGAAGCAGAAGAACTCCAGTATTTTTTATGAGAGGACAACTATTTAGAAAATGTGATTCACATGTAAAAGTGGTGCGTGTGGGTGTGGCAATTCAGAATTGAGTGAGAAAAATATTAGTGTTGTGGTAAAGTAAAAATCTTTGAATATACTTTTATTAAAAACTTGCATAATTATAGGATGTTTTTATAAGTTTTCTCTACAAGAGGTTGAAAGCTGTTTTCTTGTTTAGTAGTATTGATATATCTTTTGGAAGAGTGTGTATTCAGTTTTTGTCTGCTTTTTGTAAGAAAATTATAGCAATATGTAGCATTAATGGTAACAGAAGACTTTCAGAGGAATGCATCAACATGGATCCACATATATGTAAAAGTGTAACATTCTATGAAAGGGCCATATAAGAACATTCTGATTTGCACAAAAAAACTAATAAATGTTTGTATTCTTACTCTGGCAAAACTGAAGTTTTCCAGATAATTTTGCTATAAGTGTTTTCTATGACAATAACTTAATTTATATAATAATGGTAAATCTTTCCATTCATTATAATTTAGATATTGTCTAATTATATTTTTCAGCTGGCAAACACTGAAGAATACATTGATGGTAACTGTACTGGGAATCTTGGGGAAGTGATGGTTAGATGTAACAATGTCTTGTATATCCGTGGGGCAGAAGAAGAGGAAGAGGATGGAGAAATGAAAGAATAACCATCATAATGGACTTTGTATGTGAACAGTAATTCTACTGACTTTGTTACCCATTTTGGGTGTGTAAAATAGTGTCATTCAAACATACTTGTCATTTCATTAAATAAAATAAAAATAATTTGGTTTTTTATTAAAACTTTCATCTGTTGTAGAAGTTTATTTATATCCTAGGATAAACCCATCCCTAAAAACAAAAGTTTTCAAAAATAAAGACATTTTATACAAAATAAGTAACTTAAGGAATGATTTTAGTACCAGATGAATGACTGTTTATGTTTAGTGTAAGCTATATAGAGTTACAAGCTGAAATATCTGTCAACTGATGGGGAATGTCTAAACTTAATCAAAATAATGTAAGTTTAACAGCAATAATATATTTCAAGGTAATAAGTTGAACATAAACTTTATCTCAAAATTTTGAAATTATAACAAAGCTTCTTCATAAATAACATTTGCAGTTTGCTTTCCATCTACGAACAAATAAATATTTTGAGGTGATTCCACCCTACATTTCATTGACCATGAGAAAAGCATGTTTGTTTGAGAAACAATCCAGCAATTTTCACACTTTGACCTTGAATCCCTTTAGAATATTCAACATTGTTTAAAATGTCAACCTATCAAGATTGTTTGAGATTGACTCAATAGGCTGGGAGTAATTAATCAACAGGCTTTACAAAATAGAAATAGGGTTAAATTCAATTTTAACCCCCTTAGGACATTCCTTATAGTTCATAGTGTTTACATACAAATTTTGGTTGAGATTGACATAATAGATTCGGAGGAGTTAGGGTTCAAACAAATACACATTTTGTCTTTATACACAC